CAGATCAATTCCATTTAACTTGTGTGTGCATGTGTGCTCTGCTTAAAGTACGCTGGTGCAATATGCCTGCCGCTTTACATTGTTGTTTTTGTTAGCTTTGTATGTTTTGTGTGTGTGTTTTGATGTTTCCCTGTGGCCGAGGATTTTGCCATCATACCCACTGAGACAGCGGCCGAGAGTGATTTTCCAGCTGTGTCTCAGAGGCTTCTTGGGCTGTTTGGGTACATCTCAGCTATGATGCAGCCTGGAACAGCCGCTTGAGTGATGCTGTATCGCGGCTACGAGATTCGCTGGACTGGGGACCTGATCGACCTGACATCGCAGCCTGGGCTTCCTGCTTGGTTGACGCTGCACTGCAGCTGTGGGGCTGCCTGGACCGGTAGTGTTCGGCTGCAGGAAGACGCTACCCCTTCGTGTCTAAGGACATTTTCGGCCTTCTGTGTGAGGCACCGTAGTCGCAGTGCGAGACTTTACGAAAACGCACCTTAATGCAAGGTGAAAACAGGGCCATAGTCTACCATGCATACGCTGTGTGCGTTGAGCTTAGCTGCTTGCGTTTCCATGGCGCCGCTGCCACAAACATTGCATCTGAGGCCGTCTAATTTTACTGTTGCTATGACAACTAACTACTCCAGCAAGATCCCGTCCAAGTTGGCAGCGAACTTCCCCGAAGGCTCTGAAATAAAAATTCTCCCACCGCACTGTCTCACTCACCTCACCTGCAGACACACTCAGGCCCTCAGCAGCAGGCTGCACTTCACAGCCTGAGCCCGTACTTGCTCCAGCCGTCTGTACGTTGGGTTGCCAGATTGCTGATTTCCCACGTAGTTTTCTTTTTTAATTGTTAATGATTATCTATTTTTAATGAAGTCGTGAGGGAAATAATGACAAAATGTGGGCTTCTCCGGCCAGTGCTGTGAGGAATTTTGGACAGAGGCATAAAAATTACAAAAAAAATAACATGACATTCAAATGAAGTTCACATGTGGATAATCACATGTTCACAAAGTGTTTAGACACTTTACATATGCGTAATGCACATTTATGTTGTGATTCATTTGTTATTTTCTCAGATCTTGATTCCTCATTTTAAACTGTTGCCATATTTAATTTCATGGTGTAAAATGTCACGTGATCATATATTATTCACATGATTTTACGTGATTACATTTTACATTTTATACATATTTTTATTTCTGAACATGTTTTTAGACACTTCAAGTTATCACATGTGAAATGCATAACTATAACTATAATACTATGTAATTATATGTGTACAGTATTACAAGCATAACAATAATAACTCGATACAAAATGCATTTTAATTGCCTTTTCCCTTTTAATTATGAGATATTTAAAGCTACCATTTTGAACAAATGAAAACATAAATAGGAACATATTTTACTTATCAGTGATCTCATTTTCTCGATTTGTTCATATCTTCTTAAACTCTCCTTTAATGGCTCTTAATATAACATGATACTCATATGTTTCATATCTAAATGCTCCGTTATCTTCATCACTACTTTCCAAAACTGCTACAGCAACTTCAGCAGCTATAAACTCTCTGTATGCCATTTCACATCTCTGATGTGGACTGAATGAAGATTGAAGGGTTTCTGGTGTGATGGGTCAGTCATTAGTGATTTCCTGAGTGTCTATTGGTCAGTTTCACACAGAATGTAGACGGACACACAAATCCACCAGTTCCACACGGTGAGAGGCAGATGACGTGTATCTCAGCCCCTCTTCATAGCCTCATAACTCCAGATGTGAGTCACGTAGGATCTTGTGATAAGATAGAATGGAAAGGGCGACTCTACAGATTCAGGACATGTTTGAACTGGATTTCTGTGCAGGATTATCACACAGATACAGAAACAGATATAGAGACAGATTTTGAAGCATGTGCATGTTCCTGTACCCCAGAGGGTTAAACATAGTTTTAGAGAATTTGTCTGAATAAAACGTAGACTTGTATGTTCATTGCATATTGTGGAGTTATGTGCAGGTAATTGCACAGCATAATTGATTTGCTTTGTGTGTGCGAGAATTATCCCAGTAGGTGTTTATGAATGAGATATTATATAGCTCAGTTTCATCTACTGTTCTTTAATATTTCTGTGTAGAATGTTATTATATTGGGGTATGAATGGACTGGAGAAAGGTGAATCAAATGTGGGCTGTACTACTGTGAACAGACTTCCATACTGTTTAACAGGCCAAAGAGCAAATACAGGGTCAGCATCCAGTAAAATGACTATTACTGGCTGTTACTAACATTTTAACCACTTTTTTTTGACCCTTGTTATGTAAATGTAAACGCAGTCACAAACTTACATCACTGTACGTTCTTAATTTCTATTAATTTGTTTACAGATTATTTGTGAACTGCCAAAAAGTTACCAACATGGCAGGTTGCACTGGATTAAAATTACTTGGGATTACTTCTACAGTTTTAAAGCATAGGATTAAAATAACCTGGGATTATTTCTACAGTTCGTTTTACAACACAAGATTAGTCTAACCTGGGATTATTTCTACAGTTTATTTTATAGCACAAGATTAGTATAACCTGGGATTATTTCTACAGTTTGTTGTATAGCATGGGATTAAAATAACCTGTGATTATTTCTACAACAAACTCACGTCACTGTAGGTTCTTAGTTTTTATTATGTACTGATTATCTGTGAACTAAAAATTTTCTTAAACTGTCAAAAAGCTGCACAGGTTTAATATAACCCGGGATTGTTTCTACAGTTTTGTGGCATGGGATTAATATACACAGGATTATTTCTGTGATTAATTTTATGGCACAGGATTTAGTATAATTTGGGCTTTTTTCTATGGCTTATTTAAGAGCATGAGATGAAAATATTTTTTATTTCTGCAGTTTGTGTTGTACATCTAATTTCTACAATTTATTTCAGAGCACAGGGTTAATATAGCCTGGGATTATTTCTATAGTTGGTGTTATACCACTGGATTAAACTAGGTTATTTTATGGTTCATTTTATAGCACATGATTAAGATAATCTAGGGCTATTTTTACGATTTGTTTATATCAATTAAGTAGGTAATTCTATTCTAATAGATAAATAGCAATAGATTAATAGTTAAAAGATGCTTAAAGATGGTTCTTCAAGGATTCTTTAGTAAAGAAAATGGTTCTATATAGAATCATAAACACTCAAAGAACTATTTGCATGATTAAAGGGTTCTTCGCATCATGAAAGTGTTCTTCAGATTGATGGGGAACGTGCTGTAGATGTTTCTAAACATGACCTTTTTGAAAACGGTTCTATATAGCACCAAAAAGTGTTCTTCTATTGTTATGATATCAAGCCTGTTACAATTGAAGAATGCTTTTTGGTGCTGCACAGAACCCTTTTCAAAAAAGGTTCTATATAAAACCATGTACAGCACACTTTTCATCAATCTGAAGCATGATGTGAAGAACAGTTTAATCATGCAAAAGGGCGTGTTCATGGTTCTATACAGAAACTATACTAAAGAACCATTGACGAACCATCTTTTTTTAAGAGTGATATGTAAAATTTGTCTGAATCTTTTCTGCATAGTCTGTAAAAATACTCACATGGCTGATTTGTACACACATTGGTAATAATGACATTACCACAACTTCCCATGTGAAACTGATCCCATTCCAATAGTACTTACGTAGTGAAAACAGGACTTGGTTAACTCAGGCAGACTAGCAGAATTCATTATACAGGGAACACTATGACAAAGTGTCGGCCCTGAGTTCTTCCTCTAATCCACTCAAACTACTGAACAGAACTCCATACTACTTAATAGCTTAAATACTGAAGAGTATTGAAATGAATGAGAGAGCAGAATCAGCAGGTTCTTAATGTCAGCAGTGTTGTGGAGGCCGACATATCCACCCCCAATCTGCACCCTGAAACACAGCCTTGTTTACTTTCCATTTCCTGTGTTCCTATGACAACAGTGTTAGGGCACTCTAGGGCACACACATTCTGCTGACCAATCAGGCGCCGCGTCTGTACATCAAAGTCTGCGACCCATCTGCACTGCGAAATGAGCTTAACCTCTTTTGGCCATAACAAGAAACAATATGTTACTTATATACTACTTACACATACATATACATACATATATGCCTATATGCGCACATATTTCAGTGGTTCTTTGAGGGTTTCCTCTTTTGTAAAGAAAATGGTTCTACACAGAACCATGAACACTCAAAGAACCATTTGCGTACAAGTCAGAGAACACCCTTTATTTAATTTTCAGTCAAAACTTGGAATTCCACTAAGAGTTCTGCATAATTAAGTGATTGACATGTAAACAGAGTCATTCAGAGTGGTTTGGTGTGAAATGCTCTGTTCTAGAGAAACTCAGGTGATAGGAACCAGACTTCCACCTCTAAAAGCTCCCTCACAGAGAGTTTTATGATCGACATCGTTTTACGATAGTTTTGAGAAGATTTTGACCTTAAACTCCATTCATGGTGAGTGTTTTGAGGCAAAATAGTCCCCAAAGAAAACTTATTATTTCAGATTTATCTCTATTTTCCCATCATCAACATTCCATATAAAACTCAAAAGACACATGTAGGTTCACTGGTGGTTTTAGATAGTAAATAAAATGGCTATAGTTGTGTTGTAGTCATGGTGACCACTGGTCAGAATGCAGAAATTTTGAAAGATTGATGGACTTCCCCTTTAAGTACAAGCTCTTTATTTTCAGGAGATTTTTATTCACTACATGTTTATTCTGGGAAATTTCATGTTATATATTAATGTGGAAAGGGTGTGAAAATTTACTTTTCCTATTAAAAAGCACTATTTTAACATAATTTAAAATATAAATTATTATTATTATTATCATTATTATTATTATTATACATCAGGTGGCATCAAAGGCATCATTTGTGTGATTTTGTTCTCCCTCCTGCTGTGAGGTTATGCCACATGGCTGTTCTGCTGATCTGTTGTCTTGCGTTTAAACACAGCCAAGTTTGGACAGGATGAAGTTTAGCCTTTGTTGCCGTGGATACAGATGCTGTGAAGCCTCCCTCAGCCATGCAGCTCTGACACTGGTAGCTGTCAGTCAATCACAGTGAGGATGGTCGCTGTCTGAGAGAGCGTGTGGAGAAATCCTGAGGCGTGCTGGAACGTGGACTGCTCAGATTGTGGTTGTGTTGTGATGATACAAACAGCAATGTGCAAAAGTAAGAGTCCCTCTTTTATTTATTCAAACTGCAATCAAGCACAAACTAAAAAGAAAATTACACTGAAGCCTCAACAGCTAAGTCTAATCCCAGATGTTTGAGTGTTCAGTGTGTCACTCTTTACCTTTATTCCAAAGTTCAGTCTTAGAAGTTGGTTGATCATTTTCTGAAGTAATCAAACACATTCAGTGATGATGAGGTCTGGACTCGTGGGGCGCAGTCCATTGTTCAGCTTCTTTGTTTGATGTGTTTGTCTCCTTTTCTCAGTGAGGTTCTTCTCGTCAGCTACACATCCTTTCAGACCCATAGCGCTGAGTCGTCTTCTCACAGTGGAAGGATGGACAGAAACACCTGTGGATGTTTTCAGATCTGAAGCAGCTTGATTTTCTCCTCTCTCTCAGAGCTGAAAGCTTTAAGTGCTGTTTATCTGAAGGGGTTTTGGTGTCTACCAGGTGGTTGTTAGGAGTCACATTTTCTCTGTAGCTTTTAGAGTCCATATCCTTCTCACCCATTTTATGGGTACCAGAAACAGTCATAATTCATGTTTTTACATTTTCCAGCCTTGTTTTATATCTTATAATTAAACATGACTGTTTTTGTTTCTGTACCTTTAATACTGATATATGTAAATAAGCTCTGTTCTGATTGGCTGCCCTGTATTGTGCCCCATGCAAAAAGCAGTCCAGGTTGAGGCAGTCTTTACAGCTTCAGTGCGCGGCTGCTAAGCTGTTGTAGGTTAAATAGACAGATGTATGTAAAAAGTGTTTTTTGGTGACATCATAGAAACAGTGGCTTGTTTTTGTAGCTTAGTTTACTTATATCAACTGTAAGGACTGGAGAGAGTGAACGGTATGTTTTGAAATTTTGTTCAAATATTTTATTTCAGGAAAAAACAAACAGACTTTCTTCCTTCTTATGCAAGCGGATTATCTTACACTCTTAAAAAAAGATGGCTCTTCAAGGGTTCTTTAGTAAAGATAATTTTTCTATACAGAAACTTGAACATATGAACATGATTAGCGGGTTCTTTGCATTATAAAAGGGTTCTTCAGTTTGATGGAGAATATGTTGCATACCATTTTCTTTATTAAAGAACCTTTGAAGAACCACCTTTTTAAGAATGTATATCTAATCTCCCCTGAAATATCTCCTTCAAAATGAATGACTTTTGCACATACACTAGCAATTAAAGTGGCAGTCCATCCAAAATGTACAGTAATTACATTTTGGATGGACTGTATCATTTTTTAGTTTTATGACTATAACTGTCGTTATAGTGACAAGAAATTAAATGATTTTTGCACAGTATTGTAGCAATTAAAGTGGCAGTCCACCCAAAATGTAAAATAATTATATACAGTAGAGTGGACGTGTGGCGTGAGTGAGAGTTGTAGCTGACTCTGACTCGGCCCTGTGTGATAAATTCTGATTTAGATCAGTATCTGTAGGAGGCCAAGTTCACCCCGCTACAATCCCACCCTCAGGCGATCTGACCCCACAGACCACCACTCTCTCTCTCTCTCTCTCTCATAGAAACACACGCACCCTTTAAAGCAGTATATCAGTCCTGCTGTAAATAAAATAGTTGTTGACATGCTCAGTTAAACCTGCATGCGCTGATGTTTGTACATATGACTAATTTTGCGTAAAAAGTTGACGCTCGCCTGTGGAGCTATACACAGTGGTGTAACAAGTGACCCCTGGGCCCTTAAGGAGAGTTTTTGGGCCACGTCGTTCCCTTAAACTGAGACACAAAGATTATTATGATATAGCAGTGAACTAAATGAAAATAACATAAAGCTTGGAACAGTAGAAGAACCCTTTTTGGTGCTATATATAAAACAATTTTCAAAATAGAACCATATATAACACATTCTCCATCAATCTCAGGAACCATTACACCATACAAAGAACCATTTTAACATGCAAACTGTTCTTTAAGTGTTCATGGTTCTGTACAGAACCATTGTCTTTACTAAAGATGTTACACTGCTGACAGTCAGTGATTCATTCCAGACTTCATCATTCCTCTTTTTCTGTCTCTCTCTTTCCCATGGTAGGAGAGCTGGTCATGCCACCTGGAAAGCGAGCGGACGGTCCGAGCAGCGGCAGTGTGGCGCAGGGCCTGAGCCCCCTGTATCAAGACCAACTGTACCAGGACCCGATTCCGGGCGACCTTTCTCTGGCCCTGTCTGCCTCTCTGAGTCGCCCCCAGGACGAGGAGCTGACCAGCCTGAGCTGGCTCCATGAGAGCACGGACCTGCTGACCAGTCTGGGCCACTCAGGCCTGCGCAGCGTGAGCCCCCTGCAGGACGCTCAGGGTTACTGCGAGTCTTCATCACCGTCTCCATCAAACTCACCCAAATCCAGCGGGATTTTGCCGGGACACGGCCGCAAACCGCCGTACTCCTTCAGCTGCCTCATCTTCATGGCCATCGAGGACGCACCAGCCAAGCGGCTCCCCGTCAAGGACATTTACGGCTGGATCCTGGATCACTTCCCTTACTTTGCCAGCGCCCCTACTGGCTGGAAGAACTCGGTGCGGCACAATCTGTCGCTCAATAAGTGCTTTAAGAAGGTGGATAAGGATCGCAGCCAGGTGCGTGTGCTTTTTTTCAGAGGCTGGAGTTTGCAGAGGTACGATCTTAAAAATAAAGGCTTAGTGGCTTATTTTGGGTCCTTAGTGATGTAAGGGTAATTAGTTATGCTGTAGTATTTAAATATGGTGAAAATGTTTAAAAATAATGACAATATTTTAAAATTATGACTCATTTGACTCATTTGAATTATAATCACCCGTTTGATATGCTGCTAAATCAGGACCAGGAAATCAGAAAAAAAGAGGCTCAGCTAAGGCTAACAGCCACAAACACCACAGAACATGTTCAATTTCAGCCGTCATTCCAACACAAGTCACTCAGTGCTGTCGGATATGGGTTTTTATTTTTGTAACGCAGGTAATTTATGCATCAGTTAGCTGGAACCGTGCCTGATAACCAAGCTATTGTTAGCTTATCTACCAAGCTACAGCTATAAATGCCACAGGACAGGTTTAATTTTTTAGCTGTGTCATCAGTTTGTGCCTTCAGTATTTCATACACCCACTTCTAATCTAATTGCTTAAAACATATCCATTCACTGATCACACTTTTTTTAAAAAATCTATTAATGTAATAAATATGTACAATGAATGAGGCTACAATGGAAAAAAGCCTAGTAATGTGAGATGTACACTATATTGCCAAAAGTATTCACTCACCCATCCAAATCATTGAATTCAGGTGTTCCAATCACTTCCATGGCCACAGGTGTATAAAACCAAGCACCTAGGCATGCAGACTGCTTCTACAGACATTTGTGAAAGAATGGGTCGCTCTCAGGAGCTCAGTGAACTCCAGCGTGGTACCGTGATAGGACGTCACCAGTGCAACAAGTCCAGTCGTGAAATTTCCTCACTACTAAATATTCCACAGTCAACTGTCAGTGGTATTATAACAAAGTGAAAGCGATTGGGAACGACAGCAACTCAGCCACGAAGTGGTAGGTCATGTAAAATGACAGAGCAGGGTCAGCGGATGCTGAGGCGCATAGTGCGCAGGGGTCACCAACTTTCTGCAGAGTCAATCGCTACAGACCTCCAAACAGAAGAAGAACAGTGCGTAGAGAGCTTCATGGAATGGGTTTCCATGGCCGAGCAGCTATATCCAAGCCTTACATCACCAAGCGCAATGCAAAGCGTTGAATGCAGTGGTGTAAAGCACGCCACCACTGGACTCAGGCATGCGGGCCAGAATAGGGCCAGATCATGGACAGCTTCATACTATTTTGCCTCATGCCTACATTTGTGGGACAGTTCTGGTGTGAATATTGCGGACCAACAATGTAGCTGAGCCAGACTGGGCCCAGATTTTCCCAGATAACAGACGGTTTTGGGCCAATTCTGGCTTTCCTATGTGAGTGTTGGTTGACTACTGGGTAAATGCTAGGCATGTGGGCCAGAATAGGGCCAGATCCTGGACAGCTTCATATGGTTTTGCCTTGTGTCTACATTCGTGTGACAATTCTGGCATAAATGTTGTGAACCAACAATGTAGTTGGGCCAGACTAGGGCCAGATTTGGGCCATATCCTTTAGCTCTACTCACTTTACAGTGTGTGGGCCAGATCTGGGCCGAGAACCCAGACGTATATTGGGTCAGAACAAACCAAGGATGTGGCCCACCAGTGGGCCGGACAAATTTTGCTAACTGGGGATGATTTTGTATTGTGTTAGTGTTGATGGGTTGATATCACAATGTATCCTAATGGTTTAACTGGTGACCAGTGACTGATTCTAAACACATTTGATGGTTTTCTAATAGGATCTAACAGTGTTCTACGGGAAACCGTTGGAAAGCATTGGAAAACCTTGGAAATCACTAAGCTAATTCCAATCAGAAAAAAAATTCATTAGGTTTCTCATGGCCTTTTTTCAGCAGTGAAGTGTGTTAAATATTATGTTAAAACCTTTTAAAATAAGTTTTAGCTACAGATCCAAATAGTGCCACACACCACAGTTAGCTTAGCTAGTAGGCTACAGTTCCAAACACCATAAAGCAGGTTTCATTTAATCTTCTGTCCCTCCAGCACCAGCCGCTTGACCTTCACTCCCTCAGATTTGAATAATCTTCTAAACTTTGGTCAATGTTGCTTCAATTAGCCAGAATCAAACCTGTTCTGTGGTAAGCAGAGCTGTTATGCTAGCTTAGCTAATGCTAACTAGTCTCTCTCTCCTAGTTAGCAGCACTGTTTAATATTTATGTTGGATTAATGTTTTGACATTTACTGAATTGAAAATTGTGCACTGAATTCACTTATTTGGTGTCAGTGAACTAAACATTTTTTTTATATAGGACATAAACATAAAAGTGTTTATGTTACTTACGCTACTTTTACAGATATTTACACACTTTTTACCACCCCAGTAATACAACTGTAATATTTGGAGAAGGTATCAAAAAAGTGGTTACTGCTCAACCCTACATTCAGTGGATGGTTCTTTGCAAATGAAATGCATGATGTGAAGTAACCTTTTTTAAAGTTTGACTGAATCTTGAATTTGAAAGTTGAATCTTGAATCTTGAACATAATGTAAGTGTTCTATACCAGTTGAAGGTTTTTTTCCTAGAGCTGTACATCCAAGCCAGTACCATTTCCGTGCTCTTTTTAAGAGTGCAGTGAATAAGGGTTTTTGGCTGAATGAGCACTTTCATTTTTCTGAAAGGCGTTGTATCAATATTTAAGAAGCCCACTGCTTTTTAGATACCTTTCAGTGTATGTGTGTTCTCAGGAGAACAGCTCTTGGTTGGAATTTTTAGGGTCTAAAAACGTATGAAAGTATGAGCTGCTCTTATATGAAACTGTACAGCCCAGTTTTAGGCTTTTGAGGCACAGGGCCTGAAAGTATTCTATGAAGGCGCTTCATGAAGTCTTGGAGTCCTGGGCACCAGAAAATTGGAACTGTGCTTTTTTCATTGGTCATTGGTCCAGTAGTGAAGGTTCCAGTTTTATGGTTTTCGGTGTTTATTCAAGATTTGTACCAGTCTAGTGATACTTGAGGGAGGCAGTAATGTTCACTGCTCACTTGTTAAACTACATACTTTTTTTTAAACATTTTAAACGGACTACCATTGTTCAAATGGTACCAATGAAGCGATGGAGGTGTCATTGTGCAAGTATGGCTACTCACCCTGCTGTAAAAAGCCAACACATTTACATATATCAGCCTATTCAGTATATCCTATACTGTCATTTAGCCCGGCCCATTCATGCTGAAGTTATAAGGAGTGCTTTTTGAATGAGGCAGCCAATCAGAACAGAGCTGATTTACATATGTCAGTCTTAAAATCACAGTAACAAAAACAGCCTGTTTTGTTCTATGGGATATAAAGAGGCTGGAAATTCTTTTTGGAATATAAAACCACACAAACGTCGAAGTAAAACACAAACACATTAGCCTCGTAGCTTCAGTGCTAAAAATGAAGAAGCAAACTTCAGAAATTAAACATGTCTGATCATAAAGGGTAGGCAATGGGTAAATTTGAATTTTGCCAATCTGTCCCTTTAAAAACTCTCGTCATGTGGGCTTTGCTGTGACGTAATGATACCGCTGATTATGTTACGGCAGTGGAAACGTCCCTGCAGAGGTCAGAAGAAGAGCAGAGTGCTGGCAGAGAGCTCAGTGTAGTTAGTAAACCTGCAGGCTAAGAACGAAAGAGCAGAGAAGAAGTGCCTGCCATCTGTTATATCTGTTAGACTGCTGTGAACGGAATGTGAAGTGTAGTTTATGTCTGTAAACAGTTCAGAGAAACATTAGTCCTGATGGTTTAATGTAGATCTGAATGTCTGAACGTAATTGTTTGTGGTTATGGAAATGGGCTTGTTAGTGTTATGTAATTGTGCTTTCGGCGGAAGTTGAGCATGATGTAGAGCGGAGACGCCTCGCATGAAATCACAGCGGAGTCATTAACTAACTGCACACTGTCTGCAGGAACAGAGCATGTGCATGTACAGTGCTGTGCAAAAGTCTGAGACCACCCTTCATTTATTCAATTTCCAGTCAAAAAAGACATTTAGTATAAGTTGTTCTTTTTTCAGGAGATATTTGTGTCAAGATTAGATGTAAGATAATCTACTTCCAGAAGAAAGGACAAAGTCAAAGGAAAAAGCAGCATATTCCAAAAGAAAATGTGGCTCCTAACAACTACCTGGAAGACCTGGTAGACACCAAAACTGCCCCCAGCAGATAAACAGCACTTAAAGCTTTCATCTCTGAGAGAGAGGAGAAAATCAAACTGCTTTAGATCTGAAAACATCCACAGGTGTTTCTGTCCATCCTTCCACTGTGAGAAGACGACTCAGCACTGTGGGTCTGAAAGGATGTGTAGCTGTCAAGAAGAACCTCACTGAGAAAAGGAGACACATCAAACAAAGAAGCTGAACAATGGACTGACCACCCCAGAGTTCAGACCTCAACATCACTGAATGTGTTTGATTACTTCAGAAAATGACCAACCAGCTTCTAAGACTGAACTTTGGAGGAGTGTCTGCAGATTCTTTGATGAACTGAAAGTGAGTCTCCTGAAAAGCATTGAAGCTTTAATAAAGGGAAAGAGTTACATACTCAACACTCAAACACTAAGATTAGATTTAGTTGTTCTTATTTTTCCATTAAATATGTTTTTAGAATTTTTTTCCTGATGCTGAAAAATAAATAAGTTTAAATAAGACTTTTAGTGTAAGTCAGTGTAGCGATATACATTTACACCTCCTTGTTTCTACTCTCATCATCCATTCTCTCAGCTCCACTGACCATATAGGAGCACTTTGTAGTTCTACAGTTACAGACTGTAGTCCATCTGTTTCTCTGCATACTTTGTTAGCCTGTTCTTTAATGGCCAGGACCCCCACAGGACCACCAAGGGGGCAGGTATTATTTGGGTGGTGGGTCATTCTCAGCACTGCAAAGACACTGACGTAGTGGTGGCATGTTATTGTGTGTTGTGCTGGTGCGAGTGGATCAGACACAGAGGTGCTGCTGGAGTTTTAAACACCTCCGTGT